GTCCTTGCCTTCTTTATCTGCAGCCTCCTTTGCACTCTTTGGCTTCTTCTTTCTGTTCTCAGTTGGATCCTTTGTCTCCTCCATCTCGTCACCCTCCTCTTCTTCAGCCTTCTCTTCATCCACTTCATCCTCAATCTTCTTCTTGCGCTTCGGCTGCTCAGTCTTCTTGCCATCTTTCTCGTTGATCTTCTCTGCGTCCTTGCCTTCTTCGTCTGCAGCCTTCTTTACATGTCTGCCTCTTCCTCTACCTTTTCCCCGCCCTCGGCCTCGGCCCTTGGCGGCTTTCTTCAGCTCATCTGACTCTTCTTCGGCTAAAAGAATATGCTTGTCTTCATCTTCAACATCATCTGTTTCATCTTTCTCCTTCCGAAGTCGCATCATTTTGCGCTGGGCAGCAACGATGTCGTCGTTGGTGGTCATGCTTAGCGACCTGGTGAGGTAGATTTCATCCATCAGTCTGTTTGCTTTTTGCTGCTTGTCTGCTTCCAAGAACTTCTCATTCTGCACAGCTGACTTGCTGCCAGCATCTCTGAAGGTGCTCCTGTTCTTGGCAACGGCCTCATCATCTGTGTCTAGGATTTCGGTGATTGCTTTATATCTTTCCTTGGACATCTGCTCCTGTTTCTTCTTCATCTCTTCCTCTTCTGCAGCCTTCTCTTTGTCCTCATCTTTGGTCATCTTCTGTTTCTTCAATGCTGGCTCTGCTGCGTTGCTCTCCTTCACTTTTTTCTTTGGCATCTCCTCTACTTCCTCCTCATCTTCTGCGGCCTCCTGGTCTTTGCTTTTCATCTTCTTCTTGGCTGGCTCGGAGGTCTTCTTGTCACCTTTCTTCTTTGGCATCTCCTCTGCTTCCTCCTCATCTTCTGCGGTCTCCTGGTCTTTGCTTGTCATCTTCTTCTTGGCTGGCTCGGAGGTCTTCTTGTCACCTTTCTTTTTTGGCATCTCCTCTGCTTCTTCCTCATCTTCTGCAGCCAGGAGCATCTTCTTCTTGGCTGGCTCGGAGGTCTTCTTGTCACCTTTCTTCTTTGGCATCTCCTCTGCTTCCTCCTCATCTTCTGCGGTCTCCTGGTCTTTGCTTGTCATCTTCTTCTTGGCTGGCTCGGAGGTCTTCTTGTCACCTTTCTTTTTTGGCATCTCCTCTGCTTCTTCCTCATCTTCTGCAGCCTCCTGGTCTTTGCTTTTCATCTTCTTGGCTGGCTCGGAGGTCTTCTTGTCATCTTTCTTCTTTGGCATCTCCTCTGCTTCTTCCTCATCTTCTGCAGCCTCCTGGTCTTTGCTTTTCATCTTCTTGGCTGGCTCGGAGGTCTTCTTGTCATCTTTCTTCTTTGGCATCTCCTCTGCTTCCTCCTCATCTTCTGCGGCCTCCTGGTCTTTGCTTTTCATCTTCTTGGCTGGCTCGGAGGTCTTCTTGTCATCTTTCTTCTTTGGCATCTCCTCTGCTTCTTCCTCATCTTCTGCGGCCTCCTGGTCTTTGCTTTTCATCTTCTTGGCTGGCTCGGAGGTCTTCTTGTCATCTTTCTTCTTTGGTATCTCCTCTTCTTCTTTTGCCGCCTTCTTCACAGATCTCTTTGCTCCTGTCTCCTTTGGCTTTTCACCCTCTTCATCGTCTTCTTCTTCCTCAAGTTCGGTCGGTGAAATAGGCTCTTCTCGCTTTGCTTTCATTTCCTCTTCTCGTTCGACCTTCCACCAGGATTCTTCAGTCATATGGAGTGGAAGTGTGTCTGCCTCGTCTGGATTCACAGGCCCATTTTCCGGTTCACTTTCATCAGCCTGTTCACTTTCCTGTCCCTTCTTGACACTATTACTGTCGTCTTCTGGCCCTTCTCCACTGGCATCGTCCTCCTCATCTGATTCTTCATCATCATCATCTTCTTTTGCTTTCTGTTCTTTGACCGTGGACAAAAGGTCCTGGCAGACGGCCGGTAAGTGGAAATAGAAGGAAACTTGGAAAATGCATCATGTGTTATCAGGTGGGTGATGTAGGATATTTTTTCATGAAGGATATTTTTTGAAAATATTTTCAAAACATTTTGTTATTGTAGCATATATTGGTTAATTACTGTGTCCACTTCGTCCCGAGGTTATGAAGATCGTTTGTTTTTTTCAGTCGCAAGCCCATAAACCCAGATTCCTGGCTGGACGCGCTTCTCCCTCTTGAAGTTTTTTTCTTCCCAGCTGGTGTGAGCATATCCGTAGCCTCCCATTTACCAACAGGGGGAGATAAGTTTATAAGTACACTTAAGAGAGTAGACATTGTTCATTCCAGTTGGGAAAATGGACACATATTGAACGGCACTAAACCCGATCAGAAGCCTGCAATTTTTTCTGGATCACCATCTTGATGCTCTTCATGCCGGTATGCCCACCCCTCATTTCAACATTTGTGAGTAAAGTTAAAACACACTTCCATCAGTTACTGACATTTACCAAAAGGATGCAGGCTCGCAATACATCTTTGAAATATGTTCCTCCTAAATATGTTTTGGGTTGAGGCTTTGACCTGGCTGTGGCACACTTCTGGAACCGAAGCATACAGTACGAGGCGAATGCCCTTTGCACCCCTGATTCCACACTGGCCCAAGCCTAAGATAGGCAATGTGATTTTGACATCAACCTAAATGGAATTAACAAGGGTCGCTTGCCCATAATTGTTGTGTGCATACCAACAACTGATTGGTACAACATGCGTCCCAAGACACAGCATGCTCTGCATCACAGCCCAGTTGTGGGTTCAAATTGAACACCATAGATGCCCACTTCAGCGCCTCCTCAGGAAGTTTTGTTGATTATCAGGTTATGTTTACTCCCTTGGATTTGACCCTGAACTTTGCACTAGATGATCGATGTGATAATATTATTTATTATAACATATCATCTTGTATCATATCAGCAACCAGTCCTCCAGTTCGTTGTCTGAAGGCAATCTGTCAGCAAAAGACGCAAGGTACTGTAGCAAGTAGGAAAGGTTCTCCTCATGGTTGACCTGCCCAATCAACCCAGATAACATAGTATTTTACCCCTATCACTTTAGTTCCATGCATGGTATGTTGTGTGAAACAAATTGAACTTATCATGCAGCCTCCTGCTCCCGAATGCTCTCTTCCTTGGCAAACCTGCTTACAAAGCTGAAAGCAGGAACCTTGGGTTGCATACCAAGATCAAACATAGCTCACTAAGAATGAGCAACCCAAACCCAAGTAAATAACACAACATGTAATAATGCATATGCAGTGTGTTTATCATTGCGATCGAGATGCTGAAGGGTCCCTATCCCTTAGGCCCGCCCTTTTCCGCAAAAGCGCACGCCGTTTGGGGATGTAGTCCTTTTCGTTCAGCACATCAGCCAGAAATGCCTTGGGATTACAAGCTCCCAGTACTTCAATATTTATTCATCCCATCAGCCAACATATGTTTAGAATATATTTGCTGGATACACCCCCAAACACCCAGTGAACATATATTATATAATCATATAAGCTTATGAGTTAGATAAAAGAATATATATTATAATGAAATATTATGATTCGTAGTTGCCAGACATTTTGGCTCCCCTTTTGACGCCAAGTCACCTTCAGGAGGGCTACTCTGTCTTCGCTTGTGGTCACAGCTGTTCTAGCCGCCATTGGAAAAAACGGGGCAGCATGCGACCAGTTGCTGCAGGGTGCTCCGTAAAGCTCTTGAGCAAAGTGATTTGGTAAATCAACAATTTGGACAAGCGATGAAATTAAAATCAAATATATTCCAATATTATTTAATACTAAATAATCTAATTAGTATTTGATTTTAATTTCATCGCTTGTCCAAATGCAATTCTTGAATATGTTTGATGCCAACATCAGCTGGAAGGGGGGAAGCACCTGATGGTGCCACTGCCACCCTAGGTTCTTGAAGGTTCAAATCTTGGGCAAGTCCTCGGACCATCAATTAATAGAACAAGAGTAGGCAGAGAGGATGAGAACTCCACCACTAGCTGGGATCCTGGCTCTTCCTCAGGGCCGCTTTGATTTTCATAATGGGGAATAAGCATCAATGAATTCTGTCCATACCTAGGTTCACATGTGGGTCAAGCTGAAAACTACCCCCATCAAGATGAAATTCAAATTAAACCTGGCTGGAACAGGCAAATAGTGCAACCCAAGGTACATCAGATTGAATAGGATCTTGCAGTCGTCCATGCCATTCACAGCAAGGGGTACCGATTGTGAAACATCTAATCCATATGGCTATAGCGGGTATATGCAGACCAAAGGATGGGGAACATGATTTACTTCTATCATGAGTATCAGAAAGCTATGATTATATATTATATGGGTATAATATGGTGTAATTGCCATCTGGGAGTGTGTCCTACAACCATGGTTTTGCACGTTCATCCCCAAAAACGGTCTTTGGGCCAGGACCATTTCAAAAATGGTCCCAGACCGCTAGGGTATATATATATATAATTGCACGAAAAAGTACGGCATAGCTGGCAAAGCCTTGATGCTGGCGCGTAGCTCAAAAGTTGATATAAGTTGACAATTCAGGTAGCGAAAGATAATTCAAGGATGACATAAGGATGACATGTGCAGGAAACTGGTCTTTGATGTCATCTTTGATGACATCTTTGATGACATCTTTGATGACATCTAAGTAAGTATCCAAGCTGTGCTGAGGAATCGACCTTGAGCAAGAAGATTGCTCCACCAGCAGGTGCTTGTTGCGGCTCTGTAGCCATTGAAGTTGAGGCTTGCCATGATGAAAGGCTCTGACGACTACGAACTGCATCTAATTTATGCAGTTCGCAGTTCGTTTGCATCACCTCCAATATTATTCGTTGCCAAGTTGCCAAGTTGCCAACTGTGAAACTTTCCATGAGCTCTTGATGTTCAACCAACAGCGTACATGACGCAGTCGAGCGTCTTGGCACTCCAAAAGTTAGACCGTGAGGTGCTGAACAGACAGTGGGTGAGCACCTTTTCAACGCACCTTGGCTGCGGGGATCTGCGGAGATGCACTGAATGTTGGCTGACCAACGACCAACCTCTGAGGCCCTCGCTGCTGGAAGTAACGTGGATTTCCCCAAGGCGCCGTGAAAACTACCGCGAATCCCATCAGCCATGATGCGGTACTTGTTGGCTAATTGAACTTATTCTTTTTGATGGTTTCGCAATAGATTATACGTATAGTCATGATTTAAAGATAGTAAAATAGTGTAAAATATATATTTCTATCTTAGAAATACTGAAGATTTCTAGTGATTTAAAGATCATAGTCAATGATCCTAGAAATTACCAAAGCCATCTATTTATATCTACTTCACATTCCGACTTCAAAAACCAACCGACCGGACCTAGGCGGGTCTCTCACCTTGGGATCACCAGGTCACTGAGATTTGTGAACGTGTTGCCAAAGAGCCACAGGAGGCTGGAACCACTGGAGGAACCATGGAGGAACCATTGGAAATGGACACCCTACCTGGTATCCGGATGGAATTCGAAGATGATTTTTTGCTGAACTTTTTTTTAAGGGGAATAGCCACTTCAAAGGTTGCTTCCAATAGATGACCAATGACCGAATTGCGTTTAAGCAATTCGTGAGACGAAAAAAAGGGTCGGCACCTCGCTCCCGATGCCGAAAATCAACTCGCTTTCAGCGCCGAAAATCGACTCGCTCTCGACGCCTCTTTACTGACATCGACAACATGATAACATCAACAACAAGAACAAAATCAACAGCAGTCTCCAAATCGACAACACAAAAACATTAACAACCACAACAACATCATCAACATTCACATCAACATCAACGCCAACAGGAACATCACCACCAACAACAACAACAACAACAGCAACAGCAACAGCAACAGCAACAGCAACAACAAAGAACAAAGAACAAAGAACAAAGAACAAAGAACAAAGAACAAAGAACAAAGAACAAAGAACAAACAACCAACAACCAACAACCAACAACCAACAACCAACAACCAACAACCAACAACCAACAACCAACAACCAACAACAACCAACAACAACAACACAACACCAACAGCAACAGCAACAGCAACAGCAACAACAACAACAACCACAACAACAACCACAACCACAACAACAACAACAACAACTACTACTACTACTACAACAACAACAACAACAACTACTACTACTACTACTACCACTACCACTACCACGACAACAACAACATCTATCTATCTATCTATCTATCGATCGATCGATCGATCTATCGATCTATCGATCTATCGATCTATCGATCTATCTCTCTATCTATCTATCTATCTATCTATCTATCTATCTATCTATCTATCTATCAGTCTGTCTATCTATCCATCCATCCATCTATCCATCTATCCATCCATCTATCTATTTTTCTATCTAGCGATCACCCCCCCACCCCCACCCCCGCCCCCCCCCACCCCACGGGTAACTGATCATGAAAGAGCAGTGCGTGTAAGTGCTCTACAGCAAGAAAGATGATGAGGTTGCTGTGCGTGTGCAGGCATAGGAACATGAACCTTATTAACTCACCCCACCCCACCGGTAACTGATCATGAAAGAGCTGTGCCTGTCTCTGCTCAACAGCAAGAAAGATGATGAGGTTGCTGTGCCTGTGTGTGCATAGGAACATGAACGTTATCATCCCACCCCACCCCACCCCACCCCTTGAAGGGTTTATCAGTGTTGATCATTCCGCCTGTATGGTACCCTGATGGTTCCCCCCCCCCAACGTAAAGGGTTGAATCCCCTTGAAGGGTTTCTCAGTGTTGATCATTTGCCGTGTAATGTTTGTTTATGATGGGGTTCCAGAAGTGACGCCTCAGTACCAATGGGGAAATGGAAAATCGACTCGCCCTCGACGCCGAAAAGTGCTTTTTGTGTTGGAAGTGAGTTGATTTTTGGTGTTGGGAGTGAGTTCTTGGTGTTGGGAGTGAGTCGGTGTTGGGAGTGAGTTGATTTTCGGTGTTGGAAGTGAGTTGTTAACCGAAAAAAATACCTTAGTAGATCAGCACCTCACCACTGCAGTTAGATCCTGGAGAAGATCAACGGATTCTACCTCCCGACTGTTGATTGACATAATATGGGTATACCTGGGTATATTATATGGATATATGTGGACAATTGAATGTGGATATACAATAATTTGTTCAATTAATTGTTCTTATGGATAATTCTTGGGCCTGGCACTGTGTCCGTGGAATGAAGGATGCATAAGTCCGTCCTTACGACATGGCACCCCCAAATCATCCCAACCAATTCATCAAAATTCCCTTTGGGTACCCCCAAAATGATAGCAAATGATCAGAGAAATTCGCCGATGTTCGCATTGAAAGCCATGGTTTTTGGGGTAACCCATGGTAACCCCCCCATGTTTAAGGGGAACCCATAGCAATGAAGGCTGCAGAAGCGGTCCGTCTCTTGGCCGGTGCCTTTGCAGAGAATGGACCACCACGACGGAAACTGAAGGACACGGTCGTGGGCCGGGTGGGCAACCGTGTGGTTGATGATGTTTTTTGCCCAGAATGGAGTACTCCCCGGTGAATCTACACTAACATCTTTGGAAAACTAGATAAAACTAGTATTTTGAACTAGTTTCTAAATCGGCACATCATTGTACATCATTTGTAAATCGGCCATTTCCATAGCTATGTTAAATTACTGCAGAGTGATATCCCCCAAAATTGTAAGTTTGGTGGGTGAAACATGGTGAAATGATCATAGAGCCTTCTCTTTATGGAGGGTAGAGTATATATACACATATATACGTATATATATATACACACCATATTTTGGACATCTCCATGTTTCAGTGCAAAACATGCCTTTAAAGATCCTCAAAGAATATCAAAGAAGCTCCATGTCCAAGTTTGCAGGAGACGAATCTTCGCTCAATCCTTTGGATTACACACAGCTCAAATGTGTGTGTGTGTGTGAAGTCTATGAGTTGTTTGTCCTTGAACATGAAGAGATCATAACAAGAATATGATGTACCTTCAATACTGATGATTCAATAATGGGATTGTACAACCACAAAAAAAACCTGACAAAAGAGTAGCGATCCCACGCTTGCGCGCACCGTTTTGCGCTTGAGAAAACAGGCGCTCACCATCATGAACGAGTGACTTGACTTGGCACTTACAGTGAATGAATTTATTGATGCTCTTGTCTTTGAAAGTTAGATATACAGCAAGTAAAGAAAGATGAGAATACATGGATCACCACTTCAAAATGTTATTTGCTGTTCTTCGTTGCGAACCAGATACCAACCAAATGAAGCGCAATTAGTATGTTTGAATATTTGCATGTATGGACTGTGTCTACACTGATAGGATCATAGTGTCGGCACATTTGACATAGCTTGAAATTTTCATGGTTCTGAATTTCTGAATCTCAGTGCCTTGAGTTCTAAAACATCGAGTCACTATCGATGACTGAGGCTCCTTTACAACCCGCGGGCAGTTGAAGAAATGCGGCGGGTCGTGGGTGTCCGTGACACCTTGTGGAAGCTTCAGGCCACACGCCATGGGATGGTGGTACGGTGGTACCGTGGTCCCAGAACGTCTAAAAATGAGGTAAATATATATTATATATATTATATATAAGTATACAGTATACCCATCAAAAATGGTGGTTTTTCAACGTATTCAGAGGTGCCTTATTCTCAGACAAACCCATCTGAACATCTCTCAACCGATGGTTGAACAAGATGGATCAAGACATGAAATGGGAAAAGCAACCCCAAACGCTTCAAATGGAGGGACCCACTCATCTTGATCCTTAGCATCTTAGTGAATTGGTACGCCCAAGAAACATCAAGAAACTGGACAGCAAAACGTTGAGCTTTTCATCTGAAATGATCTAAGACTTAACTGAGGCAACTTCCAACTCTGGCCTTGGAGATGCTTCGGATGAACAGATCCGCATGTTTGCCACTGAGGTGTCTTGATCTGCGGGTTCCAACATGAGAGATATACCTCATCGATGCAACTTTTTATAAGGGCGACTTTAGGCAACTCTGTAATTATATTCCATTATATGGCAATTCTAAGGTGGAAAATGCTAATTGTCGGGGAAAACAATGATTTAGCCATTGAAATATCTTTCGATTCAAGGTACCTGAGTGCATCGTGTTTTTCCAAAAGTGAACATGTCCTTTTCACAAGTAAAAATGATACTGCAAAGGTGTGCCGGATCTAGTTGTGACGAGGTCAGAATTTGCGCGTGCAGATGGCAGTCACCTGCTGAACGAACATATGAGCTACAGCCAAAATTTACCGTAATGTTTTACCGTAATGGAAAGTAGTATTCGAGACATCTTTATTTTTTTGAAATTGAGCTGGGGTTTGGAAAACGATAATACACTCTTCAAAAAACATCAAAAAACGATAACATTTGCTATATTCCCAAAACCTGAAAAACGAGAAAATACACTTTATCCCTGATGCTTACCCCTGGCTGAAATCCTGAGGGTCCAGCCCAAAAAAATAGCCAGCCGGTACCTTGGATACCTTCCACCGCATATTTATCCCAGTAGCTGTTTCTTATATTTTGGGGTTGTATCGGAATTTTATTCGCCGGATACCTTTACTATCAAACATAAAAGTTCTACACGTTCTTGACTCTCAGTCCCACGGAATTTTATCCAGGAGGGATTTTGGTACATGAAACAGTTCAAGCAGGGATTTTGGACGTTCTGTTTGGAGGGCATTGTGCGCGATAGGTCTCCAAATCCACAGGGCTCATGCTAGCCACGTTTTGGGATTGAGCCGGAACTGCACTCTTCCGTGCATATGTTGTCCTGGCCCCGTTGACAGAAAAAAACATCAGCAGCCAAGGATCATAACCTGCAAAGACCTCACATTTTTCAAAAATTGACTCGGCCGAATAGACGTCAAACCCTTGGATTTTATCTGCCTGATATCTCTCTACAAACCAAGTGGGATGGTATAAATTTTGGGTCTCGAGCCCAAATTTTAGCCTATGCAGGACCTCCTGCCCAAATTTTATCCAGCCTTGTTTTTGGGGTAGGTTCGGAGTTTTAGCTGGCTAAAATCGAGGCATGAGACTAAAAGGCACAAGCAACGGGGATTACACTTTTCAAAAATTGATGCCTTGGAGCTTTTAAACTATCTTTTTCTATTGACCGTGGCTAAAAGTCGTGATCCTTTCTATGGTTCCCGGCCTTCTGCAGTGTCAACGTTGCAGAAACTGTCGCTACCCTCTGGTAAACGTTTACGTAGCTATGGAAAATCACCATGCTATTATTAATGGGTAAATCCACTATTTCTATGGTGATTTTCCATAGCTTTTTGTATGTTTACCAGAGGGTCAACGGCTGCAGGTTGAGAAGAAGTGCTTTGGCAATTCAGGGGATCCTTTCCAGGCGCCGGCGCCGTTGGTGCCAGAAGAGCCCTGGTTTTTCAGTCAGCCGCTGGTGGAAGCCGCGCCTGTTGCTGTGACATTTGCTGTGACGCTAGATGTTACTACATAACTTACATAACAATAGTGGGGATTATTAAAAAATAGATGGGATATGATGGGATTTTACCAATTAAGTGGATAATTGTAGTATAACACTCACTTTTGATGACTTGATGATTTTGAAAAGCAGCTCGCGACACGCTCGACACGAAACATGGTCAAGAACCAAAGGTATCCACACCAACAGCAAAGTCGCTGAAGAGCTCAGGATCCCTTTTCCTTGCCAGTAGTGAGTGAATCAAGTTCGCGTTCACTGCCGTCAACAGACAGGCAGGTCATGTGATTCCTGTGATTGGAACTGTTCTTCAGAGTTTTCACAAATGCAGAAAAATGCACATACACTTTTGATGTTGAGAGTTTGCGGATGCGAGCCCACATTCGAGCCACCTGACAACAGGTTCTTCACTGAACTTGCGTATCCAGAGGTATGCAGGTTGACAGATCCATCTCCAGATTTTCTACTCATGAACCTTTTGAGCAAACAAGACTCTCTTTATTTGACGAAATCTCAATCTACTCGTAGTGCTAGGAATCATGACAAAATGCAATTTTAGCGGGGATTAACCATCAACAATAGGGACATATAGGGACTAAATCATCAACCAAATAATATCAAACAATCATAGCTAATGATGCTAATGCCTTGTTCATAAGAATGGCTTTGTTATTTGCAACTCTTGTTGGTTTGCACATTCCGGCCTCGCAAGTGCAGCGAAAGTGAAACCCAGAAAGGTCGACCAAAGAGTCCAAAGAGTCCTCAACCTCATCTGTACTAGGCAGGGGTCGTTCCTCACATGGTCAGTTCTTGGGGTTTCAATAGTCGTGGGGGTACCATGGGATACCCCAAGCTCGCTGGATGGTTTATTTCAGGGAAAATCCATCTATAAATGGATGATTTTGGGGGTCCCATTTCAGGAAGCCTCCTATGTTGTCATTTTCTTGGCCTGGACAAAGATCCTAAAGCAAATAGCTTAGCAAGGTGGCTTCCTTGCTGCGCCGCCGTGGCAAGGCACACTGTGGCAGGTTGGTTCTGCTGTCAAAGATGCTCGGCATCTGAAATCAATGCCATAAACCATCGTGGAATCCCCAGTAGACGGGCCATTTGAGGATCATTTTACGTCAACCTCAATTACAATTGGGAATGGTTTACTTGGATTTGTTGCTACATTCCTGCTTCACCCACCCAGGTTTCTTGTGAGGTGTCAAATAGGTGTTCTTTTTCATCCAGCCGGGGAGGGTGATCCTAGTGGCCTTTCACTTGAGACATGTTCAAAAACCAGTTCAAACAATTCCGATCCAACAGCAAGTGATTTTGGCTGGTTAAATCTACTTTAAATACCCATTTGCTGATTTCTTGATGGTCAAATGGGGGTCAAAAGCCTTAAACACCCTTCTGTGCATCCCAAAATCGTTGGGATTTCTGGTTGTTTGTATATCCCTACCATGTTTTTACATATGGTCATGTGGTTAAAACAATGCCATAAACCATCCCCCAGTCATCACCATGAATAGGTGGTATAAACATGTATAAACTCTATAAACCACAAGCAAATGGCTAGTTTCTTATTGTTTTAACTTCATTTTTACCTCATGATATGTTTTGACCCAGTCCCAAATCATGGTTTTTACCACTCCCTGAGGACAACTTGAAGACCGGCCTGGCCGCTGCACAAGAAGCCAAGGGCCTCTTGAAATCTCAGGTGCGCCACATCTTTAGCCACAAAAAGCCTGGTCAGAAAATGACGCTTTGGAACACTTGTGTATTATACTAACATATACCATATATATATATAATTATTTATACATATATTTATATTATTATATATATAGACTGTATAAATATTATATACACTATATTTTGCGAAGAGGCACTGTTTGGCCTCCTTGCAACGTAGAAAGTTCTGATGTTTCAAAAGCTTCCCCGGCAATGCTGACCTGTGCAATATTTCCAGCAAAGCTGTTGAAGACAGGGGTTTGCCACAACTTGTTCACCAGTTCTGGCGAGAACGGTACCCCATGCTGAGGGATCTCGATTGGAGATCCCCAAGCTGCCAGTGAGACCTCTATCAGAACGACCCAATTTGGACATTAGCTGCTTGGCAGAGATGTCGACCGCGCAGACGATGGGGTTGCCTAAGAATGAAGATATGGCACGGGACATCGCGATGCAATGAGGGAGATAAGCATATTTGACAAGAATTGAATTATATTTGAGATGGGTTCTTCCAACATGTTCCACTGGAACATTTGCAAAAAACGATGCTCACAGAAAAACCCACTTTGCTACAGGCAGCCGTTGGCTCTGATTTCCGCCCAGGAGTTCCTATTTGCAAACGGCTATCACCTTGGATGACTTGATAGGTGATCGTTCATCCATGTGTATCCAATCATATCCGTTTAAAAAGTCATCATAGATAATGAACTAATTACTGACATTTGCCATTCATATCCAATCAATTCCAAGCATATCCAATCAAATCCAATCATCTATCACCGCGGTTTCAAGGCTTCGACGATATTCTGCCTGGTGAAAAGGCCCGAGATTTTGCCATGTTTTAATTGCCGGCGTATCATTAGTCTCAAGTACAGCTTCTATGTACAACCAAAGCCTATATAGACATACAGTAGCATACATCACACCTATTAATGTGAAAAAATGCTTTGAATACAATACATCTAGTGATTCACATGCTTTAGTTTGTGTTCATCGCTTGTTGCCTTGCATCCCGTGAGAGGTCCATTATTCCATCAGCCCTTCTGTGTTGCCGATCAACAAGCCCTTCCGCGAGTTGCAGGACTGAGAGGAAGAGTTCATGGCAATGGAAAATCCCCATAATGCCATATTTTTATGCACCATGTACAGTATTCCCATGATTTTCCCAGCTATAAACCAAGAATTTCTGGGGATTTCCCACAGCAGTTCTTGAGTTCATCAACCCAGGGCCGTTTGCTGATCTCCAACTTCCGGATGAAGTTCCAAGTGCCCAAAGGCACCTTGAAGGACAAGTTGGCTTGGCAACTCGATTGGAAACTTGGGGAACTTGGGGGGTGAAAACAGGATGGAAGAGTTACTCATCCTGATTCATTTATATAGTCTAAGCTAGGTGTTTACTTCCTAGACAGAAAAAAAGGTGCTTTCTTTGGTTGTGTCCAGAGGTTGCTGTCCCACCGATGTAGCCACCCAGAAGATGACAAGCAGCAAGGCAGATTTTGTAACATGCCAAATACATCCAAATACTACATGAATGTTTTAAAGGATTACGTTTTCGTATGTTTTCGTTAAGGTGGTTTCAAAGAGACCATAGAGACAAAAAAAGAGACCCTGATGTGCCACACATTTGCCAAGGGTCGCGGAGAAGCAGCTGCTGGATGTCCCTCTGGGCCTCATAGAGAAGTTGGACTATGAAGGCGTCACCTCTGAGGCAGAAAAGATCGGACTCCCGGCTGTTTGGCTCCTCCCGGTCCCTCAGGGAAACAGATTGAAAAGATGTGAAAAAATGTGAAAAGATCCAGAAGTTGTGTCAATTGTGATGTTCACCATCAGTGCCATCAGTGCTCAAGAAACATCAAGAAACGATATCTTCAGATTTACATGTTCCTTTTCTTTTGGAGGAAATCACACAAGCCGCACGCTCGCTGCACACAGGCAGGCGTTCAGCAATGGCGCCTCACTGTCACTACGAAGGCACAAGTGCAGGGATATGATGGATGTGGCGATCAAACTTTAAGTGTTGGGAAAAAGAAGGTTTGGGCATGTTTGGGCTATCCGGCCATCACAAATTAGATTGGTTTTCATAATCATGAATATCATATAATATCATGATTCAACGGCCTTAATCTGGGGTTATACACCATTTGCAGACACACCCATGTCGTTGCACACAACTGCTGGGCGCCAGGACTTTCGCAGCCTGATGATCTTGGTCCCTCAAGCGAAGGCCGCGAAGCCAAGATGTTCGAAAGATTCGAAAGATACCCTTTGGAAAGCTAACATAGCCACGGAAAATCACCATTTTCAATAGGTATGTCAACTATAAATGATTTATTTCAACGCTATGTATAGCTATGTTAAATTACCAGAGGGTACCATCTACAACTGGATGGTTTCATCGGGTTTTCAACACATCCAGGTCAGTAGTTTCAAAAGGCTAATCCCCCCGGCCTCTATGATTGATGCCTCGCATGTTCGGGTCAAAAAAAGAACAACACCATTCACCGTAGGACGTGAAGATGTCGACGTGTTTTTTTTCCGAACCATATCAAGATGTTTTTATTTTACATATGTATATCTATATATTTGTGTACAGTATGTATATAATGTGTATATATATATATACATTATTGTCTATCCATGTCTTGATGATTCTCAAATTATTTCAGATTTGATGAAGTGCCATTTGTTTGAACTCGGAATTCCCTAAAACATCCCCAAATCCAAAGCAGGTTGCCTCATTCCTCATATCCATCCATATCAATCCGTATCTTTCTTGGAAAATATCCATATCAAATATCAATGATCCATATACATATCCACATAAATCCAAATGTCAATCCGTATCTTTCTTATACCCTCTGGTAAACTAACATAACTATGGAAAATCACCGTTTTCAATGGGTAAATCCACTGTTTCTGTGGCCATGTTCAATAGCAACTGTTAGTTTACCAGAGGGTATTTGTTCTTCCATGTTTGCTCATCACCCTCCAAGCCATGTCCACGTGCGGCAGGACTTGGTGATGATAGAGGAGGCGGTGCTGGCATTGAGCCAGCCAGGTGAGCAGTTTACCAAGGCATGGATGGGGGTCGTGGTCACCAGAAATTGTTTGTTTTTTTGGTTGAGGAAAGGTCCAGAATTTTCCAGGAAACATGTGGAGAAATATGGAGGAATATTTTTTTTCAAATTTCCAGATGTTTTCTAGATGGTTTTCTACATGTTTTCTATATACTAAGTTGTGGCTTTGTTTCAAGAGTCAGATACCTCTCTGATTTTAGGGAAAGCAATGGGTTTTAGAAGCCTTTTTCGAGCTCGTGGCAGGCGATGTGTTGAATGATTAATAATGATTATAGCAAATATGGTTCCTATATGCTCCACATTGCTTTCTAGCAACATTTGCTCCACATCATGCAACATGACGAAGTCATTGTCTCCCTGAGGCGTTGTTTGCTTTTTCCTATGTGCCTTGGCGACAAGGGAATCGAATCA